AAAAAAAGCCAGGTACGGTGGCTCACGCCTGTAATCCCAGCACTTTGGGAGGCCGAGGCAGGCGGATCACAAGGTCAGCAGTTCAAGACCAGCCTGAACAACATGGTGAAACCCCAGCCCTACTAAAAATTCAAAAATTAGCCAGGCATGACGGTGCATGCCTGTGATCCCAGCTACTCAGGAGGCTAAGGCAAGAGAATAGCTTGAACCTGGGAATTGGAGGTTGCAGTGAGCCGCAATCACACCACTGCACTCTAGCCTGGGCGACAGAGCAAGACTCCATCTCAAAAACATAAAAAGAAAAAATAAAAACAAATATGGTTCACTTTTGGGGAGATCAGAGGAAGTATAATAAATTCAGGCATGCACGTATACATGTACCTGATTTTTTTCTGAAGTAAAACAGAAGCACTACAGGCCTAATGAAAAATGTCAGTTCTCACTCATTAGTACTCAGATGGGTGATACAAAATGTACCTTTGCAAATTCAACCTATACCCAATGTCAAAGAATCCCCTGATCAAAACAACGTAATCTTCTGGTTGGTCTCTACCAAGAAGTCAGGAAACATGAATCAGGCTAACCTCTCTTCAGAGTAAAATATGCTATGATTCTTGATATGATTTTAGATTAATAAGACTAAATAAGTTAAAATTAAAAACTAAACAATTTTACAAGAGGACAAAGATGGTTAAAACCTAAAAACCACAACCACTTCTCTCTGACACAGTATCAGTCCCATTTCAAATAAATCTCACTTGCACAGCTGATGTTATCAACTTCCCCCTACTTTTAACTACAACATCTTAAAATCAAGTCACCCACACCCAAGAGAAAAGATTCAAAAATATGTATCTGTCCTATAAACAACCCAACAATTCTTATATCAATAGGAAAAAAAGTATCCTTTGTTCCAAAAAAGTGTTCTTAAAAATGCATTCTTCATTTAACACCAAACTCAGTGCCTCAAAAAAAAAAAAAAGAAGAAAAAATGCATTGTAGAGGCCAGGCACGGTGGCTTACACCTGTAATCCCAGCACTTTGTGAGGCCGAGACGGGCGGATCACTTGAGGTCGGAAGTTCAAGGCCAGCCTGGCCAACATGGGGAAACCTCGTTTCTACTAAAAATACAAAAATTGGTCCAGGGTGCAGTGGCTCACACCTATAATCCCAGCACTTTGGGAGGCCAAGGCGGGAGGATCACGAGGCCAGGAGTTGAGACCAGCCTGACCAATATGGTGAAACCCTGTCTCTACTAAAAATACAAAAATTAGCTGGGCATGGTGGCACACGCCTGTAGTCCCAGCTGCTCAGAGGGCTGAGGCAGAAGAATCGCTTGAACCCGAGACGTGAAGGTTACAGTGAGCTAAAATCATGCCACTGCACTCCAGCCTGGGTGACAAGAGCGAGACTGTCTCAAAAAAAAAATAAAATAAAATAAAATACAAAAATTAGCCAGGCTTGGTGGTGCACACCTTAGTAGCACCAGCTACTCAGGAGGCTGAGGCAGGAGAATCACTTGAACCTGGGAAGCAGAGGTTACAGTGAGCTGAGATTGAGCCACTGCACTCCAGCCTGGGTGACAGAGTATAATTCTATATTGTTACATGTTGGTTAACAAAATAAACTTTTCTGAAGTTATATTATTGAGCTCTGATCTCTGATCTCAATACCTTGTCAAGAGTGCATGCCATCTCAGAAAAATGAATGAATGAATTGGCTATTTACTATTTAGCACCAGAATGATAAATGACCCAGTGAAAGTATTACAATCATCAAACTTTAAAACAAGTAACTGTTTAGACCAAGTGAAGTTAGCAATTTAAGTTGGTAAAGACACTCATTGAAAGCAGATATCCTAAGTGGACAATAATTAGAAAAGAATGTCATAGCTGAAATAGTGAACTTGTTTTTACCTGATGTTCTGCATGAATGTTATCCCCAGTAGGCCATCGATGTTTGCTATTATTATAGCCGCCTCCTCCACTTCCTCCTCCCCCAAGCTGCTCACCATGCTGCCTCTGAAAGAAGTAGTCCACCATAGCGTCGTCTTGGGAACGGCCTGCAACTCCTATGGATCCTGGGACAGGGCTGGAGTGAGTCCCAGCTGCAAGAGCCTGATTTGCAGCTGGTTGTGGCTGCGCTTGCGACCCTGTTCCAGATGTCAAAACAACAGGCATGTTGGGATTAGCTGGTTCTTGAGGGTGATGTTTCAGGTGGGGGCTGAAAGAGTCCTGCCAAAGCACTGCTTTTCTCTTCAAGACACATGCAACGCTCATTCCACCAACACCTAAGGACAAACAGGTTACAAATGTTTAATATTTACATCTTTTGAAACATAAAATACACTAAGATAAAAACATGAACCCCATGTCATTTGCAATAAATAAATGTTGTTGGTGGCATGCACTCTTGACAAGGTATTGAGATCAGAGATCAGAGCTCAATAATATAACTTCAGAAAAGTTTATTTTGTTGACCAACATGTAACAATATAGAATTATACTTTTATCAATCTACCAAACTTATTTATATCTCAAACCAACTGACAGTTGTTAAATGAACAAAAGCTTTTCTTCTTGAGACGGAGTCTCGCTCTGTTGCCCAGGTTGAAGTGCAGTGGCACAATCTTGCCTCACCACAACCTATGACTCCCAGGCAGGTTTGAGCAATTCTCCTGCCTCAGCTGGGATTACAAGCAGGCACCACCACGCCCAGCTAACTTTTGTATTTTTAGCAGAGACAGGGTTTCATGATGTTGGCCAAGCTGGTCTCAAACTCCTGACCTCAGGTGATCTGCCCACCTCAGCCTCCCAAAGTGCTGGGATTACAGGTGTGAGCCACTGCACCCAGCCCCAAACTTTTTCAAAATATCACAACTTTGGTGGGGTACAGTGGCTCACACCTGTAATCCCAGCACTTCAGGAGGCCAAAGCAAAGGATCATGACAGGAGTTTGAGACCAGCCTGACCAACTTTGTCTCAAGAAAAAAAATGAAAACACTAAGGTACAGAAAAATGTTGTGTCTGAGGCCATTCAACTGTCAAGTAGCAGAGAAAGAATTCAAACCCTAATCTGTTCTGTCCCCAAGCCTACTTCTTTCTACTAATCCCTTGCAGGAGTAACTCAACAATGTCTCTCATTTGTATCCTCTGGAAGACCAACAAAGAATCCCTGAAATGTTACTATGAAACACTACTATTTAAGTTCCTTAAAATCAAAAACTACATCTGTACTTAAGATAGATCACTTGCCAGCTGTGGGTACTTTAAAAGAAAATGCTACAAAGTGGCCAGGGATGGTTGTTCACGCCTGTAATGCCAGCACTTTGGGAGGTCCTAGGTAGGCAGATCATGAGGTCAGGAGTTCGAGACCAGCCTGGCCAATATAGGGAAACCCCATCTCTACTAAAAATACAAAAACTAGCCAGGCATAGTAGTGGTGCATGCCTGTAGTCCCAGCTACTCCGGAGGCTAAGGTAAATGAATCTCTTAAACCCAGGAGGTGGAGGTTGCAGTGAGCCGAGATCACACTACTGCACTCCAATCTGGGTGACAGAGCAAGACTCCATCTCAAAAAAAAAAAAAAAAAAGCTACACAGTAAACAAATCAGTTACCAATTAGGACACACCTGTCCACAGCCACCAGTCTAATTTCAAAGCCATGGATCTAACAGTCTACGCTACAAACGCCTTATCTCTCCTCCAAGCCCTGCTGTGATGCTTCAAAAATAAATTTATAAGAAATCTATCTCTACAATAAAAATGACCCAAAAAAAAAGAAATCTCTTCTGTTGAATAAATAAACCTTCTGATAAAGCAGCATTTGCTTCTCACAACTAAATTCATGTTTTGAAGCCAGAATAAGACACAATGGAATTTGTAATTTGCTTAAAGCCTAATTTGGAAATGCCTACTTTAGGTTAAGAATTCCAGTCCATCAGAACCTTAGCAGGGACTGCAGTAGTCTAACCTAGACACTAATCCATGCTCAAGTACCAAAACTAAAAAGTCATAGCCCTGTTTCACCACTGGTCTTTCAAAAGTGTAAACCAGCCTAATGCCTTCCTGCTTGGTTTTTTAGTATTTTTAGTATTTAGTACCAATACTAGACAGTCCCATTTTGTTCTAAAGGGAAATCTCGATCTAACACTCTTTGTTCCAGAGTAGGCCAAGAGTTCCAAAACCCAATTTCTGCCACTAAACCAACAACCTGTTTCCTCATCTAGAAAATGAAAAAAATCCTTCCTCTATGACTCCCGATGTGGGTTTGAATTTTTCTTTTTCTTAATCAAAATAAGCTAAATATAAACGTTTTCAGTAAATTTAAATTCATTGTTAAGACTTTTAGAATTTAGTTATCACTAGTTGAGGCAATGGAACTCTAGTGCCTAACAGAATTCCTCAAACAGCAAATGCAATCTTTTGTGAAAAGCCTTGTCAAAATACTTATCTAGGAGAGTGAGAGGATAATGAGAAATTACCTAAGGAGGACAATGTATGTTATTCCAGTGATGAACACACAAAAAGCCCCGACTTCACCACTACGCAATACACCCATGTACAAAATCACACTTGTACCTCACAAATTACACAAATAAAATTTTGAAAAAGAAAAAATAGCCGGGCGCAGTGGCTCACGCCTGTAATCCTAGCACTTTGGGAAGCCGAAGTGGGTGGATCACCTGAGGTCTGGAGTTCAAGACCAGCCTGGCCATCATAGTGAAAACCCATCTTTTAAAAAAAAAAAAAAAGAAAGAAAGAAAAAATAGTTATCCAGGGAAGAATATCCACATAAAAGTAAAGTTTATCATTGAAGCACACTAAATACAACTTCATTCTAAAAGGAATGGGGGAAAGGAAAGACTGCTATAAAAATGTTCAAACAAAACAATTGGCTTTTGTAAAGCTATCTGTATGCCCTAAGACTTCCTGCTTTACCTAAAGAGGCAAGGCAGTTTCTCAAACCAGAGAAACCCTGGCAGAAGAACAGTTTCAAAGTTAGCAAATACCTAAGCAATTAGCATGTGTCTTGGGTAGTTTTGTAGTTTTGGCAAATACAGTGCAAAAAATTAAAAACTCAGTATCCTAAATATCAGAAAATACTTAAGTTGCTGCTATCTTTTATGGAGCTCTCAAAGCTCACTAAAAACTTATGTGTAGCATTTAAAATGTGATTTTTTCTACAAATGACACCTTATAAAATAAGTACTTTAAGCAACTAGAAGTGCTCAGCCTAGCTACTCTTTCACAGCTTTCAAATGTTAACAAAGTTTTTTAAAATATCACTCATAGAGTTGAATTAAAAGGAACACGGTTTAATCTACTTCCATGGCTCACCTTTTACTAAAATGCTTAGTGGTTTAAAAGGTGTTTATTTTTACCACACTAAACAAACATTCTGTGGTCATAAATTTATTTTAAAGCAGTTCATCTCAAACCCAAACTAAACAAATTCCAACTTCAAAACGTTGTGGCCTTGAACAAAATGAATTCAATTGCGGCTAAAGCAAAACACTAACTCAAAGTTCAGAATCCGGAGAGCGTTTCCAAAGAGCCCAGATAAAGAGTCAACAGTCCCCGAGTGTTTTATAAAGTTAAAATTAGCAATGGGTCAAAATGTTTATTTTGCTTACGAAAACTGTATCGGAAGCCACATTTCTTGGGGGTGGGCCTGTCTTGGTAAGTTTTTAAGTGCTTTCAAAAAACAAACAAAATGCTAAGCCTATTGTTTCGGAAATTAACTGACTTTAAAACAGAACCCAGGAAAAGCTTCATAAAATCTTATTCTTAATTAATCCCAGTAATAACAGGAATTTAGCAAAATGATACCGAGGGCTTAGAACAGTGTTTTCTTAATTGAACAATAAAAGGAAACAAACCTCGAAGTTCTAAGAGGATAAAACCTTCTCAGGTAATGCTGTGTGGGTTTCTGGCTTTGTTTTTTCGGGGGAGGGGGCTACAGGAGGGAAAAGTTACCGGAATGTATTCCTCACTTGACGTGGGAATGATACTGACAAGTACAACAAATGACCTATGTTTACCAAGCACGTTTGTGAGGACTAAAACTATCTAGTATTGTGTACCTGGATTTTCCTACTAGCAAGGGGTGAACCCCTCTTTGAGTTAAGAGAGACACTAATACGGGGACGCTCAAAGAGGAAGAACCCACCAAAAACACAAGCTCACACGGAAACAAAAGGCCACAGCACCCAGGAGCCTAAAAAGCATTCTGAAACTTCCTGATCGCCACTTCTCCATATTTAAGGCTCGCAAAGTTCCCCCACCATGAATCTCGTCTGTGGACAAGGGCCACGGCTGCTTCTAAAGCGCTTTATTGTTCCTCCTCCTCCGGCGCTGCCATGGAAGCTCAAGAAGTCGAAGAAATCGGGGTGGTACAGAATTATACTTCATAGCCACACAGAAGACTCCGGGCTTCGCAAACCCATCAAAAACAGCAACCCGAATGGAAACATCAATTTTCGGTGGTTCCCAACAGGGCCGGGCAGAAATGTAGAGGCACGTCTACGCCCTGGGCTCGGGCCTAAACCCCCTGCATTTTCCTCGCTTCGACCCCGCTCCCCACCCCCTCCCTCCTTTGATAACAATAGGGGCCTTGCTGCTGACTCCAAAACATGTACGAGAAATAGCGAGTGAGAAGCCTCAGCCAGGGCCCCGGCGGCTTTTCCAAAGCCCTTCTCACCCCCACAACCGCTCTCAAACACCAATACAAAGAGACAATCTGCTCGCTAGGGGTCCGGAGCAGCATTTGGGGCCGGTGGGGTGCGGATACTCACGGGTGGAGCGGTAGGATGAAGATGGATTTCAGCCCCCCGATCTTCTCTCTCCGACGCTCTCGCTCCCCCTTACCTTTCACTCCGACAACATGGCGGCCCACTGGGGACTGGGCTGGCGCGGTGCATCCTGGGATAGGCTCCGGCCCCGGCCCCGGCCCCGGTGGTGGCAGCGGCATGTGCGGAGAAGGCTGGCGGCTCTGGAACAGGTTGCCTGGTTGCCATGCCAACCCAGGGCCTGTGTGAACTCGGGAAACTCGCAGGCAACACAACCGCTGCGCGCGAGTGCCCGCCCGCTAGGCGAGCGCGCGCCGCCAGGGCCGAAAGCTGGGTTCCGCCGGCCCGCACCTAGGAGAACACGGCCGGGAGCTGGGCACCCGGGGTGGCGTCGGTGACGCTCGACCGAGTCTCGGATGAGCTCCCCGCGCCTGCCGCGGCCTCGCAAGCTCGCCCCGAAGCGCTACAGCCTGCAGGGTTCGCGAGCCGCCACCTGCACGGCTCTGGCCCTGGAGGTGCAGGGTTCAAATCCCTCACTGCAGCTTTCTAGCTCGGTGGCCATATTTAAATCGACCTGCCTCCATTTCCGCATTTGTAAAATAAAGAAGAAAATAACCCCCACTTAACAGAATGGCCTTGAGGATTAAGTGGAATAATGTCTGTCAAGTGCTTAGTACAGTGCGTAGGCCTGGTAAGCAGTCCCACAACATAAATGAAAAATTCGGGGATCAGGCCGGGCGTGGTGGCTCACGCCTGTAATCCCAGCACTTTGGGAGGCCGAGACGGGTGGATCACGAGGTCAAGAGATCGAGAACATCCTGGTAAACATGGTGAAACCCCGTCTCTACTAAAAATACAAAAAATTAGCTGGGCATGGTGGC